GTGGTTGTGCTATGGCTTACAGTGGCAAATAATTTCTAAGGTCTGGCTAGTAGCATAGGACTTCAAATTATAAATCCTGCTAATACTGATACTAACTCTTAAACCCTACACTACTAAATCATAATTTCATGCCTAACACGCTAACTCAAGCCCCCTCCCCCCGTCTGGTGGGTTATTTTGAGGTCTCCAGAACCTCTTTGTGGCTTTATTTTCCCATAATGCACAGTTAAACACACCCTGCCTCAGACATGCAATAGCAAAAGACAGCACGGTTTTAAGAAAGAGAGGTGTCACAATCCTCAAGACAGCAATACCCAAACAAAGGCACTAAACATGCAAGGCCATGGTTCTAAATAAATGTTACCTGGAAACTCCCTATGCAGTAATCCACATCACCTGCTACTTATGAAACCAGGCAAACAAATACTGCACACATATACATATATATATTACAAAATCCCCAAATATATCCTGATGTCCATACAAGGTGTACCATTAACAGACCTTACTACAATCCTCAGCGACAATTATTAGCAACCTTAGCAGCTGATATATGTGGGCTAAATTACCAAATAGATGGCTAGCATAAAATGACCTGTCTCAAGATTAGCCATTACAGCTCCACGAACAGACCAAGCTGATACACACTCCAAGACACAAAAAGTTATGCTGTTTGCCTTGGGCTTCCAGTAGCTTTCCTGGGCACATATCCCTTCTTCATGCTCATGAGCAGGACATGAAAAGTGCTGTCCTGTAGTTTCCAGCATCCATGTACTGTAGGAATGAAGTTAATAAACTAGTCAATGCATTTCCTTCTGAATTTTACATTGGTCAATTAAATTTCCTTCTGCTGGGTACAAATAGGTCATAATGCAAAGCCTCACTTTCAAATACTGTCCATAAGCATGTAGAAGTGATATGCCATTAAAATCTAAGTGCATTACACACTATCATTCCTTTTAGAATGTTCCCTTACATGGGTGTTATGTCTTTATGTCATATCCTGCTATCAACAGGATGCCTGGACCTGACATAATCTCCAAAATGTTAAGGTCTGTCATTAGTTATTGTAGAACTTCAACAACTACTTTGCTACATCAGCTGGAGATCCAGCTGAAAACCACAGGCAGAACAGCCACCACATAGGCATAGCCATGTAGACCCTGACACAATGACTGCCACATAACATCATCACAGCCCTTTTTGACAGTACTGCAACATCCAATGATATCAAAGCATTACAACTGTAGTCAGTGGCATTATCACTGTCACATGGCCTCATCACTGCATTCACTGCCATCATCACAGCCCTCATCGACAGCATTGCAGCATCCAGTGTCATCACAGCTTTATAACTGCAGTCAGTGACATAATCCATGCCACATGACATCATCGCTGCATTTCTCCGACATCATCACAGCCCTCATTGACAGCATCCAGTGACATCACAGCTTTATAACTGCAGTGACATAATCACTGCATTCACTGACATCACAGCATCCAATGTCATCACAGCCATATAACTACAGTCAGTGACATCATCACTGCATTCACTGACATAATCAGAGCCCCTACTGACAGCATTACAGCATCCAGTGTCATCACAGCCATATAAACTAGTCAGTGACATCATCACTGCATTCGCTGACAGCATTACAGCATCCAGTGACATCACAGCTTTATAACTACAGTCAGTGACATCATCCCTGCCACATGACATCATCACTGCATTCACTGACATAATCAGAGCCCCTACTGACAGCATTACAGCATCCAGTGTCATCACAGCCATATAAACTAGTCAGTGACATCATCACTGCATTCACTGACAGCATCCAGTGACATCACAGCTT